TAGTTAAAAACATATGTTTAATAATTAATATATTTTCAGAAAATAATATATATCTTAAAAATGTAATTTAATATCATTTATAAAGTTTCTTATTTATCTAGTATAAATTTTAAATAATTAATTTTTAAAAAAATTTAATATAATTTTATGATTGCAATTGTGCATCCAAACAGAACATGTGTAATTACATTGTGGCATCCAAACAGGACATGTGTAATTACAGTGTAATTACACATAGGCAATCAAACAGGTTAGTGTAATTACTAGACTGTGTAATTACTAGGCTGGTAATTACTACCCTAGTAATTACACCAATTCCAATTACCAGGTGGCTTTTCAAACAGACCCTTAGTAAAAACATTCATCAAAATCTACCTTCTAAAATAATAAGAAACTATTACTTATACTAGGTAGAAAAGGAAGATACTAGCTATTATTATTTTATCCTTAAGAGAGGTAAGCGCCTTGTTTGGTTGTCTTCCTATGGGATGAATTCATGAAAATTCATCAAGTAACATGGCTAACTTGTTCTTTCTCATTCCTTTTATCCTCCCAAGCTATCGTATGTATATGGAATCTCCGGGGAACAACGGAAGACTACTAGTGATACATGCAAACACACTACTATGGGTCGACGGACTATTTCTCTCCAGCTGACTGTCGTACCTGACTTCTATATCCCATTATCCAAGTGCTTATGAAAACAGGTCAGTGTGAATGATAGTCTTAAGACAGTCTTTTTGCTCAATGTCCGCCTCGCCACTCTGTTCAACCAGTTGGTCTCACAGTCAGGCGCCTAAAGCAACTTTTTTCCATTCGCGAATGTTTAAGAAGGCATCTCTTGATTCGTCAATTTAGATTTTTGTGTATATTGATGTGATTGTTCCGCAAGTCGACATGAAACCAACTTGCTGGCATGGAATTGCAACAATAAGGAATGAAGGACGGCTTTTAATGCACTCAAGTGCATGATACAATAGACTTTTTAGTCAAGAGGCTTATATTTCAAATACTGAAAATCAAAGAGCAAACTGAAAAACATTCAATATCAAAAGCAACAATTTTGAGGCAATCCCTTAAAGTCCAACCAAACCAACATACACTCCAACTCTCCCATCCACATAAAACACATCAATTGATGACACCATAACAAGTGCAACCACAAATGAAACCATTCCAACATTAATCCTCACAAAAGCACTAGTCTTGTTCACAAAAGCGACAATGAAGAGCAAGTAAATCAATCTGACCATCATGTAAACAATGGCGAAAATATGATCTACCATAAGCGGTATTGAATGTGTCCCATGGGAGGAGCTAACCGGTGATGAGGGTAAAATAGATTATGTATGCTATGTTTGTTTTTAAACTGGCCATGGGTGGGCTAAATTGTGAAAGATGAGTGGACAACTTACATAAATCTCATTGTGTAAAATCTAAATTACCTTTTATCCCTATTATTTATCTAATTACACAAATCCCATATTTTTTAGGCATTTTGGATACATAATTAAGGATCCGGATACATTATTGTTGATACATTATGTATCAATCTGTTGCACTTATTAAGGAAAAAAAAGCTGAAAAATCAAATTAAGATCTCATAGTATCCATCTGTTACACTAATTAAGGGGAAAAAAACTGAAAATCAAATTAAGATCCCATAAATTGCGCTATTCCATTCCAAATTATTGTCAAGAATTCAATCATATAGTGTAACTAACCAAAAAATTAAAAATTAAATTTCTTCTTCTTGTTCATCATTCTCTCTATTTCATAAAAAAAATTGTCGAAATTTTGGATAAGCGATGTGAGTTATAAAGGATACAAAAGTGATGGAATTGTTGTTGGACAAACGATTTCTTTTGTGAATCATCAAGTTCATCGAATATCCTTTCGATTTTGATTCAAAATTGTCGAAAATTTTGAGATTCAAAATTATTTTCCCAGCTCATTGAAGATCCTTTCAATTTCGATTCAAAATTGTTGAAAATTTTGAGTTTCAAAATTATTCTCCTAGTTCATTGAAAATCCTTTCAATTTTGATTCAAAATTATCGAAAATTTTGAGAAGATACATCATGAAGATCCTTTCAATTTAAATTAACAAGTGTTGTATTTCTACTAGATACATTAAATAAGAAAGTGTTGCCCATAAGATTTTAGGTTTGAGATCGATACATTTGTTTGGTAATTGTTATGTATCAAATACATTTAGTATAAATTCGAATTTACATATCATAACTAAAAAATTAGTACATGATACATTATTATTTATGTATCTTATTTTGTTTGAGAAATACTATAATTTAAAATTTAAAAATACATTATACATGTAATTGAACATGACAAACATTAATCGAAGATTCAACATCATTAGAGTTATGTATCAATAACTTAAATATGAACATGATACATTGCATAAAACAAAGGTTATTGTAGTAGTGATGTATCAGATCAATGATAACACTAACAAAGACTAATTTAAGACTCAAAATAAACGAGATCCATTAAAAATTGTATCTTTGATAGTGATGGCCATGTAATGGCAGATCAAACTTTTTTCTTCTTTTTTTGGACGTTTTTCAACAGTAGATACATTAAAAGAAAATAAATATTTTTCAAGAAAAAATTTCAACGACGATATGATTAACTAAAATTGCAAAGGTTCAATAAGATTTCAATGGGGGCAAGGGTCGGAGGTAATTTTATTTTTATTTTTTAAGATGAAAAAATTAATAATTAATAATAAAAGAAATCGGAAATTGAAGTGATGGAAAGAAATCTACCTCTTGAATAATTTGAAATCATTAATTGGAAATAGAAAAGATTTGAAATTCAAAAATAGATTAATTGATGTAATTATGGAGAGATTTGTGGCGTGAAAAAAGGAAGGAAAATCATGGGTATGAGATTTCAAATTAATGTATTCGAAAAAGGGGATGATGGAGGAAAAGAAGGGATTTTTGATATTTTTTTAAATGGTAGGAAAAATAAGAAAATATGATAATAAATAATGTGTAGTTAAGTATTTTTTTTCTTTTGATGGACTTTGGGTAAAAATCAAATATATTTGGGTAAATTAGATGGTGCCACACGTCATTGTACATGTCTTTCAGCTTGGCTTAGGGATATATATATCCTAGTAAAATTATCCGCGCTTTGCGCGGGAATTTAATATCACGGAGTTTATAAAATAATACTTAAAACCTATCCGACATTAAAACTAAAACACTATATTATCTTACATACAAGATTACGTAGTAACAAACACTAATAAGGGAAAGGAAAATAAATATTATTACATCTTATCATTTAGCCTTAATAACATAAACATAAATTATGAATTAATGATTGTAAAAATACATACCAGGATCTGTAACATAAGCAATAGTGTCAGTGAGTCACTCAACATGAGCAGAGTATACAAATATTTAATTAGGAAGAAGAGAAGAAGAAGAAGGAGGAGGAGGTTCAAAATTTTCGTTATGTTAAAATGAGAGGAAATCCTTCTATTTATAGACAACAAAGGATAGTATGAACAAATGTTTATTGTGTCTTATTATAAATGTTACAACTATTTGGAAAAGTTGCAATCCTTCGGAAAGGTCACAACCTTTCATAAAAGTCATAACTTTTCATAAAAGTCACAACTCTTTATTAAAGTCGCAACTTTTCATTAAAATCACAACTTTTCATAAAATGGAAGGCTAATTTTCTAAATAAATAAATTAAAAGGGAATTCTGGTTTGTGGTGGCGCCACGTAGGTGGGCCTAAGGTTCTGTTTTATATATATACTAGAGCAATTACGTCGCGCGGAAATTTAATATCACGGAATTTATAAAATAATACTTAAAATCTATCAGCCATTAAAACTAAAACACTATATTATCTTACATACAAGATTACGTAGTAACAAACATTAATAATGTAAATGAAAATAAATATTATAGCATATTATCATTTATCCTTAATAACATAAACATAAATTAATGACTGTAAAAATACATACCAGGATCTGTAACATAAGCAATGGTGTCAGTGAGCAAAGTACACGAATATTTAATTAAGCAAAAGAAGAAGAAGAGGTTCAAAATTTTCATTGTTTTAAAATGAGAGGAAATCCCTCTATTTATAGACGACAAATGGTAGTGTGAACAAATGTTTCTTGTGCCTTATCGGAAAGGTTACAACTATTTGGAAAAGATGCAACCCTTCGTAAAGGTCACAACCTTTCATAAAAGTCACAACTTTTCATAAAAGTCACAACTCTTCATTAAAATCTCAACTTTTCATAAAAGTCACAACTCTTCATAAATGTCGCAACTCTTAATAAAAGTCACAACTTTTCATAAAAGTCTCAACTCTTCATTAAAGTCGCAATTCTTCATAAAAGTCTCAACTCTTTATTAAAATCGCAACTCTTCATAAAAGTCACAACTTTTCATAAAGTCGCAACTCTTCATAAAAGTCGCAATTTTTCATAAAATCGCAACTTTTCATTAAAGTCGCAATTTTTCATGAAAGGGGAAGGCTAGAATTGGAAAAAAAAAAAAATTAAAAGAAAATCCTTGTTTGTGGTGGCGCCACGTAGGCGGGCCTAGGGTTCTCTTTTATATATATATGATATGATTGCCAAAAGTATGATGATAAGAGCATATTTAACCTCAAACTCAAAGTATTGAAGGATATACGCATACCATTTGTAATACTTCATGGGTATATTTGTCCTTTTCCTGTATGCAAATCTTAAACAAGACTTGTCGATCACACAATAACACACTAGAAAAGAAATTTTACAAGGCATACTCTTGACAATATACTCACCAGCTAATTGAGAACTTTGGCTATTCTGCTAACAAGAATTTCAAAAAAGTTTTTCAGTATTGTGTGTTCTTTTTGTAGTCTTGATACCTAATTAGATCTATAGCTTCATGTATCAAGGTTAGAAACTGCACAAATGATGTTACTGTTACCTTTGTCAAAAAAAAAAAAACTGCACAAATGATGTTACAAAGCAAAAGATGAACATGCTGCTAATGGAAATTTACAATTGTTCAGACCAAATCTAAAAGGTTTTTGCCTCCAATAAGAAAAAGCAGGGATTTTGACAAATTTAAATGTGATGCTACCACTTGGAAAAGGTTCAAAATTTCCGAGCAGCTTTGATAGGTACGATCAGTAAACAAAATCTCAGTCGAGGTACATTTGTTCTGCTAGCCACTTTTCTGAGCAAGCGGCTCGGTGGCATCCTTGTCCATGGCTTTCCTTGCTAACTCATAGCCAGCAAAATTCATCGCACCCAGAGGTGCAATCCAGAAAAATCTAGGAATGGCCCCTTTAAACAATCCGAGGGGTCCTTCATGACGGAGAATTGATAATGCAACCATCGTTGACGTCACAGCCATTCCCTGTGGAGCAGTCATCATTCTGGTCTTTATCACATCAAATGGAGTCGTTGAAACAGCTGTCAACCCACCAGATAAAGCTCCAACTGCAACTGTTTCCCAAGGCTCCAATTCTCTCCCCAGAAGCTGTTGCACAGCCTAGAATAAACACAAATGATTTTTATCAACAAGAATTGACTGTAACACAGCTGTGTCAAACAAGTAATTTAGTGGTTGATTATGACCTTGAGGAATGTCAAATGGCCTTTCTTGAAAAGTAAATACAGAAGGTTTATCAACAGACAGCGACACCATAATAATTCTCAATATACACATTTTAAACTCGAGGGAATGAGTTTATAACATTCAACAAATTTGTTTACTTTCATGCATCAACAAACCCATACAACAGACTTTATTAAGAAGCCGTTGATCCAGCCAACTGCATCTCAGAAAATTGCACAAATTTATATAGCAGACAGCATCCTCATGATGGGTTTCCTATGTCAAAGCTGAATAAATCCAGAGGATTCTGAAATACTTCATATTCCCTCTTTCTCCCATTTTATAGGTGTTTTAATTGGATTGGGCACATATCAGAATGTTAATTTGACAAATGTATTAGGTAATGAAACAAAATATAGATGAGATGTATTGAATACATGTTTGTGGACATTTCTCAACTGGGGCTCCTTATATAAGAATCTTAATCTACTACAGTAAGGCAAATAACTACTCTCTACCTATAAAAAGGTAAGTAATTATTATCCTAAAAGAAGAAGAAATAGCATATAATATATTTTATAATATTCAGCTATGCAAATCCAGTGATTATAGAGATATTGTGAATCGACAAATATTTACCATATAACTGCATTTGCTTTTCATGATTACCAACATATTTTTCTGAAAATATGTAATATTATTGATGGTGAAAGAAAATATTTAAAAAAAGCTGAAAAGTTAATTGATAGATAAACATCACATCAAAATTAAAATTTGAATTTTAATAAGCGAAAGTTGGGAAGTCGATAATGAAAACATCAAATTAAAGTTTAAAATATGAAATGATTGAAAGCTAAAGAATTGCACAAAATAATATCAGAAGTGGAATGGTATCTAATATTTTGGAACGTACCCAAGTGGAAGAAATGTCATACTGTAGTGCTAAAAGGAAAAATAATATAGAAAGTTGGAATAGCATATGCAATTAACATTGCTCCAGGTAGTGCACGCCTAAACAGATGAAGCTAAACCAACAAAAGCCACTTCTACCACTCCATAATGGGACAAGATTCACTGTCCATTTAAATTACTCCTTGTAAAAAAAAATTATTATTTTTTTACTTAAAAGTACTATTACTCTTTTGTTCCCGTCTTTTTTTCTTTTTTTTTTTTGCTGTTTCTATGATACAGAATGTACATCTGTTGCTTTGTAACAAATAACAGATCATGAAACTACAGAATTGGTCAATAGTTAGATGCTCCACAGTGTTATCACTACTGGGCAACCTTCTTTTTAGTTGGTATTTGCTAGAGTCCCACATTGGTTGAGAGAATGAGTTGTTGTCTCCTTATACGATATTGGGCAATCCTCAGCTGATGATGAAGTTGAATTAGGCCTGATATCAATTTTCTTAACTTGGTAATAGACCTTAGACTCATTCTTTTTCCTAGTTTACACAATGTTGGGCCTCCCTTGTTATAATGTCCACACTGTAGACATCCAGCCTTGGGCGTGCAGGAGGGTGGTATTAGAGTACCACATCATTTGAGGAAAGGGGTTGTTGTCTCCTTATAAGGTCTAGGGCAATCCTCGCTCATGAGGGTGGTATTACTTATTAGAGTACCACATCATTTGAGGAAAGGGGTTATTGTCTCCTTATAAGGTCTGGGGAAATCCTCGCTCATGAGCTTACCTTTGGATTTATGTTAGACTTACTATTCATTTTCCTAGCAGTGTTCACGAGTTAATGCCAGCTCTTGTAAAGAACTAATTGCTGCCTGGAATGGTACTAAGATCCCCAAAAAATATATGGTGAGGTACTTCTGCATATCACACTTAGTACTTAATCTAAATAGAGGAGAATCGCAGATGATTCACAGATTATAAGGCTGATATACACAAGAGTGTAGATGCTTATGGTTCCTTGAGTTATGCCGCAGAATAAAGGCATGCAAGGAGGAAAAATTCTGGAATTTATGAATTCTATATCCATGGGGTAGGTCTTGCTCTGTTCCTTCAATATCTTGTTTTTCTGATATTCAGTCATATCTTTGTTATTAATATATCAGCTTTTATAGTTAATAAAATAAACTTGGGGGAAAAACTCATATATATTAAGGATAGTGCAAACTTAAAATAAGTGCAAAATCACCTTTTTGGACTCGGCATATAGGCCCATGCCTACAACATAAAATGGAATCTCACGGCAGAGAGTGGCACCAGTTCCACGGAAAAAACCCTTAAGACCATCTTGCTGCCAGGTACCAATGATTGCTGCCCCAACATTGTCAAAAAGACCAGCTTGCAATCTTTGCTTGAGCACCTCACAGGGTATTCTCACAGCAGTGCCTAAGAAAGTGCTGCAGAATGATGCCACAGATTGAACCTAGAAACATTCCAATAACAAAAAAATTGATAAGTAACTTCCTTTATGAATCCAAATAAATAAGGAAGCTCGGTCAGCAAATGATCATGTGTAACATGATAGTGCTCAACTAATTGATCCCACTTCCCTTATTACTTTGATACGTTCAAGCCTTCTTATGTAGATACTACTATGGGGTAAATGAAACAGCATAGCAGATGGCATCCAAGAACATCAATTTGATTAGAGCATCAAAATCAGGAAGATGGGGGTAGAGAGAACAAGCACACTGAAAAATGTGAAAGAAAAATATTGTCTCATTTTTGTTTGTCTTTCCTACATATCATAGCAGCTCACCTAGCTTCTAGGAAAAGTTCTTTAGTCCCATTGAAAGATGAGCAGATCCCATGGACACTTGGATAATCTAAAAGCATAAGAAGTGTCCTTCAAAATCCAACCTAATATGAGTAGTCCTTTTAAGTCAACAATTGTGTTTCGTCCCTAGGATGCTTAAAAATCGAGGACATATGCCGACAGAAATTATTCAACAAATTGGGCCCTCCAATGAAATGGAACCATCAGAAGGCAGAATCAACTGGGTGCCACCTTGATTCTAAATGAGAACCAGATAAACCACAATTAAAGTTTCATAGGCTGAAAAACAATAATCGAAGGAACAAACAAAATGGTTGTAATAAGAAGAAGCTCCCGGGGTTTTGGTCTAGTGGTAAGAGAGAAGAAGGTAATGTGTGGGCTAAGAGCAGTTCATGAGTTCAGACCCTTCCACAGACAAAAGCCAGATATTTAAGTCGAGAAAGGTAGAGGGGCAAGCCTATAATCCACCGAATTTCAAACCATGCAACACTTATCCTCAAGGATTTCTTGGTCATTAAAAAAGGTGGTAATAAGAAGGCCTCAACTAGGCATAATGTAAATGGATAGAACTAAAGTAGAGCAATAGGAAAGAAGATTGATGAGAAAAACAAACTTCTTTTCTAATAAGGAAACATCATACTTCCTTTGGAATAGCAAAAAAAAATCTCTAGTCGTTGTGTAGGTAGCTTGGGAATTAAATTTAAACAATCTAATTGACTCCTAGCCCAACTAATGCTCTTTCTTCCCCCATATACCAAAGATGTTGGCTTCAGACATACGCATTGGTTTGATAAAACCCCTTTGGGAAAAGATCATTCACCAGAGAACAAAACTTCCGTACTATGGGCATATCTAAGACATCGACGTTGAAGAGTTGATATATCAAATTGTTTACGACAGGACTTTTGAAATGTTGTCAGCACAAAGCTGATATGTCTTCCATTCTGCAAAATTTAAGGTCCAACCTTTTTTAAAAGATTACCCTAATTAAACCGATTGCCAACTTTCTCAAGACCTACCAAATTTAACTTCACAGCCCTCCTACTATATACTTTTGTAAAACCAGTATTTGGTTGCAAACTACAACTACCTTCAGTCTCAATAAGCGTGCAGAGAATAGGCATGGAAGGCATACAGAATTTAGGGATGCGTAGACGTGCTTTGTAATGAAAGCAGCTAGAGGTACGCCAATAAAGACAAGACTATGTGAAAGATGTTGATTAATGTGAAGTACTCGATTGGTTACAAGAAGACATGACTCTTCCTAAAGGACAATTCTGTAAAGGTAAACGGTATACCAAAGGGAAGATCGGACTTTTCAAAGTCCTTCTGGTTCTTGCTGAAAAATGGAAATAGAGTCCGGTGTGCTTTTGAGAATTAGAGCATGTTTGGCATTGCTGCTAAAAATAATTTATTTCTAGAAGCACTTTTTTAAAATGGCTTTTTAGAAAAGTGCTTTTGAGAAATAGTAATTTGTGTTTGGCTAATTCATTTGAAAAGTGTTTTTCATAAGCAAATCGCGTTTGGCTAATCTTTTTTAAAAAGTGCTTTTAAGAGTCAAATTACAAAATAGGACAACTATTAATGTACTTCTAATATTAAAATTATTTTATAAAGAGAACCTATTTTAAATATCTATTATTAAAAAATTAATTAAATTTTATTTTTTAAAATTAAAATTTACATGTTTAAATATTCAATCAATATTACACCTTTTTTGGGGAGGCTGAAATCTTTAATTGTTATTTTTTTTCTTCTTTTTTCTAATCTTATAAAAATATTGTTGTTACCTTTTTTCTAATTCTACAAAATAATACATAAAATAGTATATAATATATTTTCTCAAAAAAAATAGTATATAATATATAAAATAATAATATATAAACGTAAAATAAATTATAAAATTTATTATATAAAAATAAAAAAAAATTCTTAAATGAAATTTAGCCAAACTTATGAAATATGCTAATTAATTAATAAGAAATATATTGGTAAATATGTATATATGAAAAGGATATTTTCGTCTTGAGAAAAATTATTTTTTGTTTCTGCTTCTGCTTTTATTAAAAAGCAGAAATTTTTAGCTTCTTCCCAACAGCAGAAAAACTGCTTCTGCTTCCATTTAAAATCACTTTTACTGATTTGCCAAACACTTAATTTTTCTCAAATAAGTGTTTTTTTCTCAAAATAAGTGTTTCTGGCCTCCCAACAGCAATGCCAAACAGGCTCTTAGTATGGTAATATTGATGGCTCCATGGGCAAGGGTGATGCTATAGAAGCCCTAAGAAGACCATCGTAAAGGTCTTAAGCTAAGGAGTTGCAAACCAAGATTGTTGAGATTCAATGGGAAATCAAGAAGATGCTTATCATGGAAGAAAAGCCCAAGAACGAGTCCACAAATTGTGGATAAAAATGGGCTAAGTGCTGCACATATTTTATGGTTCAAGTCCAAACCCAAATGAAAGAATATTGGGGCCCAAATGGGGCTGAAAATTCTGCCAAAAGAGAGGACAGTTTTGGTCAAATTTGGAAACTTCTCCTTTTTTCCTTAGGGAAGAATTTTTGGTATTATTTTTACATGTTACCCTTGTTTGAAGTTTCCTAGTTAGATTTTATTCATTATTTTCATAAAAGTAGATTCTAGTCCCATGTTATTTGGGATAGTGTTTCCCCCATATATAAGGGGGGGGGGGGGGGGGGGGGGGGGTTCTGTTATACTTTAGAAGACAACATAATTATTAATTGGGAGTTTCTCTTCTTTTACACCTTTGTGTGTGGCTACTTGGAATTTATCTTACAAACTTCATAAGATTCTTTAAGAGGTAAGACTAATTCTTCAACTTGATATCTTTGGTTCTTATTCGTAAATTAAAGAAGGTAATTAGTCTTGTACTAATTATTGTTTCTAATTTCTTCAAAATAGGGGTCTTCGTCTCTTAGATTACTTTTTCATCTAAATTCTTGAATTGACTCTATTAGTATCAGTTATTAGCTTAATTCCTTTGTTTTTGAATACTAAGATCAATTAGGGTTCTTATAGTACTTATTTTGAAATTTGGAGATTTTATTCTTAAATTTCACCTATCTTTGATTTCTTGTCTTTAATCCTAGTATTTTTTGCTTCCACACTATTTATCGGAGAAGGGTTAAGCATGCCCCTGTACTATTAGAAATAGTTTAAATATACCCCTCGTTATACTTTTGAGTCAAATATACCCCTCCCGTTATACTTTTGGTTCAAATATACCCCTCTCATAATACTTCGACACAAATTTGCCCTTAATTTTAACGGAAGAACACATGTCAAGCTCAAAATGAAATGACCCGCTCCACTTCTAAATACCTAAAAAAATTTTGTAGAAACTCACCCGTTTAACTGGATCCAATCCATTTTATTTTCATCTTCTTCTTCTTATTTCAATACTCAAAACTTCTAAAGCTTGTACTTTTACAATTTACAGTGGGTTTCATTTTCTTTTTCAAATTTTGCACTACTTTTTTCATTTGATTATTTGTTTGTTGGACAGTAACAAAGACGATCCTGAATTTGGAGATTGTCATATTGTTATTCATATAATCACTGAATTTGAATGTGAAAATATTGTACACAAATAAAGTTTACTATTGAGAAGCTCTGAAAGAGCTCTACTGGTTTGCTTACCCATGATATCTGCTCCTTTTCCTTAAAAATTGACTTTGCTGTCGTTTAAGGTTAATGTCCTACTCATGGCAAGATCAAACTATGAAGGAATGAATCTAGCTAATGAAAATAAACGCCCTCTTTGAAGGTTTGGGTATTGAAAAAAGAAGAAATGAAAATAAAATGGATTGTATCCAGTTAAACGGGTGGGTTTCAACAAAAAAAATTAGGTATTTAGAATTGGTACGGGTCATTTCATTTTGAGCTTGACATGTGTACTTCCATTACAATTAAGGGCAAATTTGTGTCAAAGTATGATGGGAGGGGTATATTAGAACCGAAAGTATAACGGGAGGGGTATATTAGAACCGAAAGTATAACGGGAGGGGTATATTTGGCCCGAAAGTATGAGGGGTATATTTAAATTATTTCTAATAGTACAAGGGTATATTTGACCCTTTTTCGTTATTTTATTGTTTATTCAAGTAACCCGATTCTTATCAAATATACACAGAAAAATGATTTACTACCATTATTTTCACCAGCAAGAGACAAAGATGGCAAGTAGCTAGAATTTGAGACAGTCCTCACCTATCACAGGAGATATCTTTCAAAAGTCCTAACCCCTTCAAGTTTGGGCATATGACGACGTGAAGTCATTCTTGTTTGTTTTTTTGGATAAAGTAATAAATTACATTCGAAAAGGGAAAAAGCTTGCCAATATACAAGAAGTATACCAAAACTAGAAAACTTTACAAGAAGACATGGTTTTCTACAATAACACCACTCATCTATACATGTAGGAATCCTATGGGTGCACCTAACAGAAATAAGGGAAAATAGGCCATTCCTCAAGTGTACAAAGTCTTTCTCTACTTCCTCAAAAGTTCTTCAATTCCTCTCTCACCATATGATCCATGTAAGTGCAAAAGGAGCAACATCTCATTCCCTGCATCTTCTCCTCCTCCTACTAAATGCCCACTAAGTTGCTCAGACTCGGGTGCAGGTGTCCGATACGGGTGCAGATCTAGAGGTTGAATACTCTATGATCTAAATTTTAAGATACAAGGATACGAGTGTAGGGATTCGGCTAAAATAATTCAAATGTCTAAAAATAGAGTTATAAAACCTAAATTATGAGATATTATGTGGAAGATTGAGAAGAAATTATTGATCAAGAGGACACTCTTGAAAGGAGATAAAAGGAAAGGGAGTGACAATAGAAATTTATATACACAAGGTATTCCATTTTCTTCAATCTCACCTTAATTTTTGTTTTGATTACAAACTCATTCAATCTGTCCAGAATTTCAACCTCGAATTTGGTCCGTCAAAATACCCAAAATCGGTTGACCAGATCGTGTAGGGATCCCACACCCACGCCCATGTCGTGTTGACACGGGTGCGGCACCAAAAGTGAAGAGTTCGAGCAACTTAGTGCTCAACTAAACATTATTTCTTTCACTATGCTTGACATCACCCACTCGGTCTGAACCATCTCAGAATTTCCCACCATAAACAAGAAGCTATCGGACAATGTAGAAGAAGATGATTCACATCTTCACCTTATTATTTGCACATGAAACATCAACTAACACATTATTTGTTCTTCCTCAAATTCTCCACTGTTTGGATCACTCCTCTCGTAGCTAGCCAAGTGAAAATACATACCTTTCTCGGTACCATAGGGATCTCTATATACCGATCATGTGCAAAATCACTCTCTTCCCTAATTAGAAGCTTCACATAATAATATGACTTCACTAAACAAATACCATGCCCCTCGCCCTCCATCTCCATACATCGTAGCTATCAATAGTAGCTTTTTGTTGGTGAAGCAAATCAAGTAAGTTCTTAAATTCTTCAAACTCCCTATCTTGCAAATTTCGCCAAAACCTAAAAAATCCCAAATTCTCCTTTTGCATACTCCAAAACCATTGAATCACATCTTTTGGGTGGGGGGGGGGGGAATACTGTACATGTTAGGAAATGTAATTCTCAAAATGTTATTTCCACACCACCTATGTTCCCAAAATCTCACCCTGTTCCCATCACCCACCCTGAAATCTATACTCATTGAACTCTTCCCACTCCTTTAAAATGTTTCTCCATAAGCCACATCCATATGGGAGTGAAACATTTTGTCCTCCAACCCCTTTCCAAAATTTCATACTTCTCACCAGTAACTCCTCTACACAAAGCATTCACCTCTCCCCCGAATCTCCATAACCACTTCCCAAAAGCGCCTTGTCAAAGACCCTAAGATCTTTAACCCCAAGCCCACCCCAACACTTAGGTAATGACAATCGCCCGATTTACCAAGTGAAACTTTCTTTCCAGACTTGAGCTATCCCACAAAAAATATCTCTGAAGCTTTTCCAACATTTTTGTAACATTGACTGGGGCGTGTAACAAAGACATGAAATATGTGGAAATGCTTGACAACGTACTCTTCTTGTTGAGATTTTATAGCTACACTGTTTAGAGAATTGGATAAAGTGAGTGAGGAGAAGCATCCACGCAGCGCTTCTCAATTTAAGTCTTACGGGTTGTGTTGACCACCGATAACCCAAGGAAGAGGACATACATAGTGGTTAGTTGACTTGCCTGTGCAAGAAACTAGGGGACGTCAACCACCTCATACTTCATTGCGTCTCAGAGTTGTGGGCTTTGACATATGCAGCTTTCATGTTTTGACATTCATCGAGTGCTCCTAGAATAGAGATGGATATGATTCCAAAGTAACTTGCCTTGTAGTTGTAGGAAGAAACAAAGGAAGACCTTGCCTTATCGTATTTTTGGTTATTTTAGAGAGAAAGAAATAGGAGAACTGAGAACCTTTGATACAGTTGAGAACCTGATGTCAAGCGTCCAAAGTTTTCTTTCATTTCATTTTGTATTTTTGGTGCAAAGTGGTGGGAATACCTGCTTGCATGAATAACCACAACACATTTTGTAAAGATGACACCATCTTGGTGTGGTACTATTGAATTGCTTTAAATTTATCTGACGAAAACTGAACAGCATTATCTAGAAGAGATGAAAAATTCCTAGGAAGGCTTCACTGCTAAGCTGTTACCTGTAGCTCTGGAAGTGTAGGAGCAATATTAATCAGCACAACCTTGCTTGCTTCAAAAATTCCAGTCCGCAATCCATGGCTGCAATAATCAATCAAATTGACAATTCAGATACAGACAAGGAAATTTTTTCCAAGATAGAGGAACAAAATACAAAACAACTAACCTTGAAAACTGCCCTAGAATAGCAGGAATCGAACCTCTGTACAATCCCCTTGCTCCAAGTTCAGGAAGCTTTGATATTATTTGTGGAAAGGTTAGTGTTGATGCTTGGACTTGTGTCTGAGGAACCAGCCAGAAATTTAGAATGTCATTTTCACTCTGAATGATTGCTTATTAATTTTCTAAATCAACTTCATTGTACCCAACTAAACCATAAGAATAATGCCACGATAAATGACAAACTTATCACCTTGATTCAGAGCTACTTATGCTTCATTGAATACCATAATATAAATCACAAATAATACAATAAGATACTTTCCAGACATAACATATGTAACACCAAACAGGCAAAAGATCAGATGAAAAGTACAACCTTGCACAAATTTAATTACCTGTCAAGAAACTAGTAAGAAGAAATTAAACATCTTCGTAGGAAAAACGTCATCAAGAATAGGAAATTATATACTCTTACAACATCTTCCCTCATACTTCTTAAGAACGTATAATAATTTTAAATATTAGTATAACAAAAACATAACCCAGTAATCAAGCTTCTGAAGTATTAACAGAGCAAAGATGTCAGATGTTTTGCTATAACACCCTTTATAGAGACCTTCCTATTCACTCTGTATTTCTCCATTATTAGACTTCATGACCAGGAAGGGTAAATTGTCTACGCAAAAAAAAAAAAAAAAAAAAAAAACAGAAGTTCTTAATCTTAAACGGTGTAGATACAGGCTTGCAATCAGAACAAGCTATTGGTGAGAGGTGAGGAAACCCAGGATCCTAAAGAAATTAAGGAAGCCATGATTGAATTTTACTCCAAGCTCTACACAGAACTTGAATCATGGAGACCTTCCTTTGAATTTAGAGGATGCCCAACAGTCTCAGCTGAAGAAAATGAGTGGTTGCAAAGGCCTTTCACAGAAGAAGAAGTACTACAGACCATTAAGCAGTGTGATGGTGACAAAGCTCCAGGTCCTGATGGTTTCACCATATCTTTCTTCAAAGAGTGTTGGGATATTCTTAAGGAAGATCTCATGCATATTATCCACAATTTCCACATGAGGAGCTTCTTTGAGAAATCCTTTAATGCTACTTTCATAGCTTTGATCCCAAAGAAACCTGAGGCAATGGAATTAAAGGATTTCAGACCGATCAGCTTAATTGGAGTGGTGTACAAGATCATTTCTAAGCTAATCACCGAAAGATTGAAAATAGTTATAGGGAAGTTGGTTGATGGACATCAAATGGCATTCTTGAAAGGAAGGCAAATCATGGATGCTGCTCTGCTGGCTAATGAAATGGTTGGCTCTAGGGTAAAACAGAAGAAACCAGGCATCCTATGCAAGCTAGATATTGGAAAGGCTTATGATCATGTTAATTGGAATTTCTTGCTAAAAATTCAAAAAGACATGGGTTTTGGAGAGAAATGAATTGGCTGGATACAGTATTGCATCTCAAATGTAAGATTCTCACTCATTATAAATGGTAAGCCTGAAGGATTTTTTCAATCGCATAGAGGTCTTAGACAGGGAGACCCTATGTCACCTTTTTTGTTCCTACTAACTATGGAGGGTCTGAACCACATGTTCAGAACAGCAAAGGTAAATGGCTGGATAAAAGGGTTCAGTGCTCAAATAGGGAGAGGTGATGATCTGGAAATCACACATCTTTTCTATGCAGATGATGCCCTGGTTTTTTGTGAAGCAGAAGTGGCACAAATCAGACACTTGAGAGCAATCCTTACAATATTTGAGGGCATTTTAGGGCTTCATGTTAACTGGTCGAAATGTTTCCTCTTCCCAATTAATCAGGCAGACAATCTTACAAAGTCTAGCTGAGAATCTGGGATGTCAGATAGCCTCTCTGCCCACGAAGTACCTGGGTTTGCCTCTGGGGGCCAAAAACAAGGAGTTGGAGGGGTATGGAATGAGGTGATGGAGAGATGTGAGAAAAGACTCTCAAGATGGAAAAGTCAGTACCTATCACTGAGGGGTAGGTTGACTCTCATCAAATCAGTTTTAGATGGGTTACCTACCTACATGATGAGTCTATTTCCAATACCCAAGAGCATTGTGAAGAAAATCAACAGAATGAGAAGATCCTTCATTTGGCTAGGGAACAAAGAAAAGAAAGGCTACAACTTGATGAAATGGGAGACTCACTTTGAGCAGAAAACAAGGTGGCCTTGGCATGAGAAATCTTAGCATCCAGAATAATTGCTTACTACAAAAATGGCTATGGAGATTTTGTACTGAAGATGGAGCCCTATGGAGAAGATTCATAGCAGGGAAATATGGCTTGTTTAGCCAATGGGCTACTGAGGAGGTGATGGGGTCATTTGGATGCTGTGTGTGGAAGACCATCAGAAGGTTGTGGCAACAGTTCAATAACAATATTTATATTAGTGTGGCCAATGGTCTGAAAACAGATTTCTGGAATGAAATCTGGAAAGGGGATGATAGCCTGAGGAACTTATTCCCAAACCTCTACACCTTGAGCTTACAAAGATCTGTTATTGTTGCTCAAGTATGGAGCCAACAAGGGTGGAACTTAGTGTCCAGGAGGGCTTTGAATGACTGGGAAATTGAGGATGTGGCCAGGCTACTAGAGGTGCTAAACACCCCTCCAGCCATATCTCAAAGAAATCAATGTCAATCCGTCAGTGACTAAAAAATGGCCTTGGAAGCTAGTGTGGAAGACAAGAAGCCCATTAAAAGTAGCATGTTTTGTCTGGTTGGTCATAAGAAAAGCTTGCCTTACACATGAGGCATTACAAAAAAGGGGGATGCAGTTTTGCTCAAGATGCTTTATGTGTGAGCAGAAAGCAGAAGTAAATAATCATTTGTTCATTCACTGTAAAGCCGCTTCAAAATTGTGAAATATGTTTTTGTGTATACTAGGGGTTAGCTGGGTGATGCCAAAGACAACCATGGAGCTCCTTAATAGCTGGACAAGAATTGGCAACAGAGGGAAAAGTGAAGATTGGTCGAAGACTATTCCAGCCTGTATATGGTGGACTCTATGGAAAGAAAGGAATGCTAGGTGTTTTGAAGGACAAAATGATAGTTTTCAGAAATGAAATGCTTAAGTCATTTATTTTTTTGGTGTAAGAAAGAGTTGGTAGGGGAAAGCATAGAGATGGTCGATTTTAAAGGAAACTTGTAATTTTGTATGGCTTTTTGAGGGTGTGCCCACCACCCTGTGGGATGTAAGTTTCCATTTCATCATGAATTTTTTGTGAATACAAAGTTACCCTTATCTCAAAAAAATGTATAGTTCAACTACCTAACCTCTATATGGCGTGCTTGTGGTAAAGGAAGACAAAATTAAAGCAAAAAATTATGCTTACTATCATATAAAACAATAAATACAGCCGAGTACTACCTCGTTTCCAATAAACTACACCTAATTTTACCAATTACTAAGCTCAAAATATATTACATTGACTATGTGTAATATAATGGTCGGAAATGTGATGAAGTGGAATCATTAGTTAGTAAGATGCTATATCAAGTCTGAAGTATCATGAACGTTATGTTGCTCGGACTCTTCAAAAATTTCAATGGGTGTGTCGGATTCGCCAAAAGTAGTGTATCTTTGGAGAATCCGACACAGGTGTGGCATCAAAAGTGATGAGTCCGTGCAACTATCAGAAGTGGTATCAATTTTATGTTAGTTTGAAGATTTTGGAGGAAGATTTTTCATTTGCCGAAAAAAAGAGTGATATTTTTGGCACAAACCAAAAAGGAAGTAAATTTTCTTTGGCACAAAGTAGCTGCTTCTAAATTGTTTACCCAAGATTATCTACTCATATTTTACCTTTCTAGGTATCTTTTTTTTACTGGAAATCCAAACAATAACACCATTTATCAGTTACACAAGAAGGCAATAAGTAACTAACTGCTCTAGAGTATGATAGAAATTCCAAGAAGTAAATGCTTCTGGAAAACAAAAAATACCTTAACCGTATCCACAGGGTGCATTAACGCTGTAGACAATGCACAGGAGAGTCCTCCTGCTAATGCTGATTTCAGGACATTCCCAGCAGGAATCTCTACAGGTGGAGGAACAGCAACCACTGTAGCAGCCTCAAACCAGATATTTCTGTATGTTGTACACCACCAAGACACCAACATATGCAAAAAGGTTTAGAAACAGACTTATGCCTTGAAGTAAGGCTCCATATTATCAATTAAAGAGATAGTAACTGTCAGGCTTTGCAATACTAACAATTGCATGTACCATCAACAAAATAATGGTTAAGACACACAAAAAATGGCAACTGAACTTGTCACATGCATCTACATCCAAAAATGAAAAATGGATATCAAGAATATAACAAATTTTGATCTGAAATTTATTAACACGCATCTTCCGCCGCTTTCTAATCGACTATTAAAACATTCCACTTACAAAGTCTATCCCATCATACTATTTGCTATCTAACATCTCTTTTCTTTTCGCTAATTTTGTGCTTCAACACTCTTTAAGTACAAAATGTGTCACAAATATCAAGGTCCCTTTCATCTGTAGACAGCTGCTAATTGCTATACTAACGGCAAAAGGGGCCCACATGCATCAATTTGCTTCCTTTCTTTTAAGTTAATAAAAGGGGAGAGATGTAGATCGTCTTTACATGAACAGCAATTTTTATTAAACTCGATGCTTAATTTATTTGCTATGTGCAGATACTGCCTTTACTTTGCTAATTTATTTGCTATGTGCAGATACTGCCTTTACTTTGCTAATTTATTTGCTATGTGCAGATACTGCATTTACTTTGCTAATGTGGATACTTTTCTTTTGTTGTTGTTGAAACTGGTAATGTTGCTAATGTGGATACTTCCAAATGCAATAAAACCATCAACAGACTTTGAAGCAAAAGCGGAGGTCGGAACATGAATGAGCATTGCATGTAATCCCTTAAAGCAGGTAGCAACAACATACTGAACTGTACAGCTTTCAAAAGGAAAGAAAATCAAGTTCTTCAAGTGCAGATGATCTAATCACTCCAGGTATATTTAGTGGTGCACACACTATACTCCATGTGCAACCTGGAAAACACTCTTTTTCTTTGATAAATGATAACCAAGACATCCCCAAGAGCCAACTGGTGCACGATTTGAACCTCAGTGGATAATGGAACTGCACCTCTACCCTTCCCACCTAAATACCATGGTTTGTACGCAGAATGATTAAAACTCATGACATGCGCCGAACCCACATATCACGCGTTCCCTCTTACCATTGAGCTAAAGCCCTAGAGGCTAGGGAGGAACTCCTTTGTATAGGGATCTGTAGTTATGTAACTATATTATAGAGGATCTTACCATCAATTGCCGATTAAATTGACTCATACTGAAAAAGGGAAGTCCCAGAAGTACCAAATTATAAAGAACTAACTCCATCGTCTTCACAAAGCACAAGACTTCTCATACCAAAATATATTTTCAAAAGGGGGAAATATTAAATGCCCTCAAATTAAAACCTAAACTCTCTGATATAGAATTGCTGGATGTTTCTCACAACTGTTGTGTGTCTTGCTACTACTTCTGTGATGAGGCCAAAATATAATTAAGATCAAAATGTCTCAAAATTGACAAAATATAGAAGAACCAACCCAGCAACTTTTGTATCCTCAATTCTATCTTTGGGGAAGTCCCTTTATTACATGAACTTTGATGATATATAAATATCTTAATCAGATATCCAAAAGTCCGGTTATGTTTTCCATGTTTTGCTACATCTTAGGGAAGAATGCAAGAATACCATCTTCAATAGTATAGCATAGCTGTAAATAGCCATGTTCATTGCTGGTCTTAATAAATAAAGGCAAATTTTGTAAGCCCAAGACTTTGATATCCATCTCTTCCTTTTTACAATAAGACAACTGCCGTTCTCAACAACCATTTATCCAGTTGAGTTATACAATGTCCCATATCAGACACACAAGGGCATCTAAAGGGGTAGACATTATAAAACTCAACATATCCCATCTGAGTAACTTGTTTTTCCAAGTTATGCCCCTACAACATCTTTTCTAGTTGCATTTCCACCAGCATAAACATGAACAGTGATTAATCTCGTGCAGTAGTGCCACTACTACTAGCAATTGATCTTCGGATGATCAGGCAATAGGAGACATGATTAACAGTTGAATATTGTCTTAAAAAGAATGCCACAGAAAAGTTTCTAATCAACTCATTTCTCCAGGTTAACTCAGACGAAAAATCTAGTTTCCCCTACCAAAATGTGGGATGTGCTATGTAATGGAAGCCAAAAGCTCGCGTTCCACCAACGCAAACCTAAACAAGAAGCTCATCATTGTAACTTTCTTTTCTATTCTGCCATCTTTCTGTTTTATGTACTAACAAATTCTCAAATGCCATGATATATCATATCATTTTGAAAAGGTAAAGATATTCTACCGAGGATCTTCTTGAAGCCGATCTGATGGCAGCAGCAGCATAAAGTTCCGGAAATGTCCATAGGAAATAGACTCCTCTGCATCCGCACTTAGAAATCGCATCATGGCAATAGCATTGTCTTCATTTGCTGGAAGTCCTGCATTGTTTAGTGAGGCAAGTATCTCACTCTTCTGCAATGTGCCTGACTTGCTCAAACAAAGACTGGTATAAGCCCGCAGGATGGTAGGCTCCTTCTGTTCCATCAACGAAAGAAATTGTTTCCACCCAAAAGATTTTGAGAACAAGTGACTTCTAGCACGACGCATGAGTTCATGGGCATATCTCTTTGGCAACTTTCTTTTTCTCATAGCAATTTCAAGATCTTCCAACGTGACTTGACCATCACCATCTCTATCCAATTCCTCAAAGAATCTCTTCCCTGCAAGGTTACAACACAAAACTAAGGGCATGTCTGACAATATGGAAATTTAGTTGCTGAAATTTACTTATTGTGGAGTTCTTGTACGTTGCTGGCAGCATCATCCGGACCTAAAGAAAATAATAATAATAAGGGAAAAGGGTAAAAAATACCCTCAAACTATTGCAAATAGAGCAAATATACCCTCCGTTTGAGTTTGGGTGCAAAACTACCCTCACCGTTACTCAATAGGCTCAAAAATACCCCTGGATAACGGACTTCTTCTTCTTTGTTCCTTCCTTACCTCTTAAATCAGATCGAACCAAAACCCAAACAAAAAAACTATTTTAAATCCATCTTTCATTACACAAAACTGAACCCAGTTTGACTAATCTACACTCAAGTTACTTTCACCCACGACCATGGCTTGTATTCGAAAAAAGAAAAAAACAGCCATTAACTAATGTTTGGAGTGCGATGATGAAATTTTATGATGTTAAGTAAACAAATTTGTATATATGCACCACATCAAAAATATCTTTAGTGACAATTAATTAACGACAATAGCTTAATTACTGTTAAATATATATATATATATATATGTATGTATGTATGAATTTTGAACAACAATTAACACTCTTCGTAAATGTGTCTAAAACCTATAACGATATTGGATCCAATGATAATTAACTAATGTGGTAAAGACCTCTTTATTAATATGTATATTTATTGCCGTTAAAAGTTGTTTTTATTGTACTGAAGTCATTTCTGATCAATATTGCAAAACAAAAAACTTCAACCTTCAAGTATTATTCTTCAATAAGTGGCAACATATATAGCAATCAAGATAAATTGCAACCTTTTAATATTTCTCTTGTATGCATATAAGTTACTTAAAAGTAAACATGAACTAATTGCATATTGTAGGATATTGAACGGAGAAAACTAGCATGTAGGAATGATACAAAGAGCAAAATTTTCTTACTAGAACAATTAGTGCCAGTGTATATGTTGAATTGTTCAGTTTAATTTGCGTACACTGAAATTCTAACTCAATTTTGTGCAGTAATGATAGAAAAATGAGTAATAGATTTAGACTTTTTGACCAGAGTACTCAAGATTTCTACATATCCTTTGCTTGATATATATTTGCTCTACTTGGCAATGAGATGGCATAACTTGAATTTAGCATTTTAGCTCGTATATGGAAAAATCATGCAAGTTCTTGATATATTTGCCTTGAGGGAATAAAAAACTTTTTTTTTTATAAAACAGGTGTTGCTGGTGGATGGAACTTGGGGGCAGCGAGCAGAATGAGAGAGGAGGCAACAAAAGAAAAAGTCAACCTTTTCTTATTTTAAAAGTTTTCTAAATTCCTTTTTTCCACTCTTCCATTAGTGAAGGGTACTTTTGAGCCTATTAGGTAACGGTGAGGGTAGTTTTGCACCCAAACTCAAACGGAGGGTATATTTGCTCCATTGCCAATAGTTTAAGGGTATTTTTGACCCTTTTCCCTAATAATAATAACAAAGACCAATGTATAGAGGCCCCCTAAACTTTTCCAAGTAAGTAAATTCATATAGACAATCCAAGCAAGTAATTCATATAGACACCTTATCTTAGGGTCTAAACTATTCAACACCTAAAGCTGGAAAATATTGTGCCTACTAAACACATACTGTTAACATGGCGCAGTAACCAATTTGGAAGCATGCAATTGTTCCAAGTTACATAACAAGGTATATGCTCTCTGGAAACTATGAAACTTCACTTTAAAAAATGATTGCCGGCCATTATCTTTTATTTTTCCTTCAAAAAACTATGTTCGATCTGGTTAGTGGTCATCATCTTCTCTCCTTTTAATTTTTAGATCAGGCCATTGCATCCTCCTTTTAAAAAGTAGTCCTATCTTTTTAAAATATGGTCCTCAATAAAAGCCTCTTCGGGAGATATCAGAATCGTCCAATCTCGACCAACTTTTTCAAATTGGCAATTATGACTCCAAGCTCAACTTGCCGTATTTCCCCAGGCAAAGTCAAATTCGATAAAACAGCTACTGAAATTAGGCCATAAAAGACTTACTTTTCTATATTAATTTCATCAGGTTATTTGTATGGTCCCACAACTATTGATCAAGTTACTTTGGTTATCAGAGCAAGAAAGTGAAGAAATCACAATGTACTTCAGAGCATAAAATTATTTGCAGTCTTGTTCTCATTAGGAGGAACTCGCTCTCACTGGCCAATACCAATGAAGCTCTACTCCCCATGGTCAAACCTTACCTCCATGTTAGGCAAGAAAGTCTAAGGAGAAATGCTTCAGCATGACCACAAAGAGGAGCACAACTAATGCTGCCTAATGAGCTGAACATGAAGGGTGAATTGAGACAGTGGATACTTCAATAGCATATGGCTGGTAAGCTCCAGCAGACAGCAGTAGAGGAGAAACAAAGAAAAGCAATGTCTTTATTGTCCCGTGTCCTTTTTTTTCCTTACTGATGTGTGTTAATTTCATTTGTATCATTTGCCACGTCCCAGCGAGTGACATTCACAAACTTAAGGTTGTTCAGAGTTGCCAAATATGTATTAAATAGGCATACTTTTGATAACATAAGGTGTTCAACATGTAGGACATCTAGTTCAAGTGTATATTAAGAATTCAGACAAGTTTAAGTGTTTGTCTATGTATTTGGCCCAATAACAATAACAATAATAATATATGCCACTGCGAGCGACATTCACACACTTTCAGTTGTTTAGAATTGTAAAATATAAGTATCCTATAGGCAGACTTTTGACAACATAGTAAGTTTAATAGGTCGTACACCTAGTTTAAGTATCCATTTGAAAACCTCAGTCAAGTTTGAGTATTTGTCTATGTATTTGGCCCAATAACAATAAAAGTAATAATGATGATAGTAACAATAATAAAGTAAAAATAAAAGGTGCACATAATAGAGGGAATCATTACTTCAATCACATCGATAGTTGTTCAGATACTGGAAAAATGCTCCAGTTACTTCTTTGTTTCCTTAAACTTGCAATCTCATCCAACTCCACATAACCAAAAAAAATCTTCTAGAGAAATTGTTAGTTATTCTTATTATTACAAATCAAAATCTGGTACAAGCTAAGTTTCATTCATTTCTTGTGTTCTCACTTTTGTATATCTTGAATTTGAGTTTTCTTGTCCACCCGCATCTTCTAGCACAATCTCATTGCAAAATACAGCCAGATAGACAATCATAATATATTATGCAGTTATCTATCAGACATGTTCCACGTCTCACTGTTTTTTTTTTCGACATTGGTAATTGCTTCTATTTCTTTAACACAACACATCAGCTGTACTGAAACCATATTTACAAAATATCTCATGAATCTACTGTCCTATCCCTATAATGAGTCTAAGACATCAATGATAGAGATAGTATCATTAGAGTATATACTTGCACCAAAAATATAAAGTCAAAATACAATTAATTTTGACTAGTTGTATGGTATTCTCCATATTCTCAAAAACTCTAAGGTTCTTCTCCTTCCATATTGTGCACCATATAGCTGCAGGTACAATTCTCTTGTTGTTCCAATTCTTAGTTGTACTCCTGCTTCTTCCCAACTAGTAATGCTTCTATCATTTTCCCAGGCATGGACCAAGATATGTTGAGACTTGGGAATAATCTCCACAATTGACTTGTGACCTTGCAATGTATAAATAGATGGACCATTGTTGATGCAATTTTCCCACAGATAAAACATCTGAAACATAAAGGGATCCCCTTCTTCATCAAGTTATCTTGTGTCAGCGCAACTTCCTTAGCCAATAACCAAACAAAGCAAACTACTTTGTGTGACATTTTGGCTTTCCACATGTGTTTCCAAGGCATTGGAGTATTTGCTGGTTTGGTTGGTTTATCTTCCTATAGGCTGCATTTATTTTAGAAGTCCCATTACTATTACCCTGCCACTATAGGATGTCTTGTCCTGCCTTCAAACCACTAAATTGTTCAATGGTGCTGAAGAATTTTGTTACTCTTGGTATTTCCCGATCATTGAGGAGTCTCCCGAACACAAAATTCCACCCTCGGGGTATCCACAATTCAACTGATGTAAACTAAGTTGTCAATATCTAAGAATAGTGTCTCCATGTTGCCTGCTTCATGCCAATAATCCTTCCAAAATATAGTTTTAACTCCATCTGCCACTTTGATTATGGTATTAGCTTTGAATTCATTCCACAAAATTATGGTAGATTTCTATAAGCTAACAACATAAGAAGTCGTGACCTCCTTTGTCATCCAGTTATCATTCTCCTCATATTTAACTTTGATGATCGTGCCCCATAGATTCTGATTTTCATTTGAATATTTCCATAGCCATTTAATTCTTAAAGCTTTACTCTGATTCTTCTGATTCTTGATCCCTAATCCCCAAAATCTCTTCTCACTGACCTTCCATTTGACTAGATGGTAACCCTTCTTGTCTTTTTGCCATTTCCATAGAAATTTCCTCCTGATGCTATCCGATAAGCATCCAACTTATCAACGATTCTTGTTGGGACAAGACATAATGACATCATGTATGTTGGAAGTGCATCAAGCGCAAAGTTTATCAAAGTCAATCTTCCACCCAGTGAGAGATATTGGGACTTCCGCATTGCTAACTTCTCACATTTTTCAATCACCCCATTTCAGATTTCCATTGATTTAGACTTGGCCCCCAAAGGCAACCCAAGGTAGATAGTTGGTAGAGCACCCACTTCACCCCCTAAGATTGTCTTTTAAGATTTTCATGTTTGGCACTTCATTAACTGCGTACAAGAAGCTTTTCCTCGCGTTAACATGTAAATCTAACATTTCTTCAAATATTACCAAGATCAGTCACAGTATTTTGAGATGCTCCTCTTCAGAATCACAGAATATAAGTGTGTCATTTGCATAGTGAAGGTGAATTATCTTCAACCTATCCTTTCCAGCTCTAGCAACCTCAAATCCTCTTAACTAGTCTTCCCTAATTGTTGTCTTAATCATTAGTTCTCCCAGCAACTGTTTGATCCAAACTAGATCACAAGTTGCTATAGCCACTGCTCGATATTATGCTTCTGCACTTGATCGAGCAACCACACTCTGTTTCTTATTTTTTCCAAGACATCAAATTACCTCCTACTAAAACACAATATCCAAATGTAGAACGTCTATAAGAGGGTGATCCTGCCCAATTAGCATCTGTATATCCAATGATATGCTCATGGCCTCGATCTCGAAGAGTAGTCCTTTACCTAAAGCTGGCTTTATATATCGCAGAATGCGAACAATTGCATCCCAATGACTATCAAAGTCATAAACTGACAGGTTAGTATAGATTGCTAAAATGGTCACTATTTTCAATCAAAAAAACTAGACAACTTCTCATGGGTTTGATAAATGTGTAAAACATGGGCAGACTAACTTGCCAAATACTGGTTTGAGCTTGAATGGCAATCACAGTGCAAGCGGTCAACATTGTCTGAAAGAATAACTACCTAACCTAACACAGATTAGTGTACAGTACTAAAGACCATATCTTCCTGTTGAGACATCCTGACAAAGTCAGCAATCTCAAAGTCTCAAACTTACTTGAAGTAATAATCAGTCTACGGTAACACAATGGCACACAGACATGAAGAAATCTCACTATTTGTTTGATTCTGGACCAAAAGAAACAACTATGTAAAGCTGAAAAAGTCATTTTAACAAATTCACTTGAATGGGACAAACTTTAGATCAACTTAAGAAGTAAGAGAGAAGCATACCTTCAGCTTCTGTGTATCTGAAAAAGTCCTGGACGGAGATCAGTTTTTTCTTGTCAGGATGGTCTTTACTAGGTCGTCCTAACTGAGGCAAGAGCTCAATTAATTCTGTTATTGAAACTGTGGACAATGTTGATCTCAAACGCTCGACATTGGATAATGGAATACTAAGCAAACCACTAGCTAAACTTCTTGCGGAATTTCCAGTGCTCTCTTCTTGACCACTAATATCATTAACACCATCTTCTCTCTCCTCTCTCGCAGAAGAATCTACATCAACAATACTTGAAGGAATACCTCCTACTCTTGCAAAATTCAGATTCCCCAGAAATCCATTGACATCAGCTCTTTTACCCTCTAAAATACTGACTAGCACCTTAAAATGATCAAACTGATTGGCAGGCGGAGGAATTTGATTAAACTCGGTACTCTGGCATTCCTGTTGTGGGACTCCTAAGTCAAATTTTTGAAGATTCAAAGCTACTTGATCAAAAAGAAAACCTACAAAGCACTCAAAAGATAAATTCTTTTCCTCTTTGTGCTTCACTCCATCACAGTTATCCATAACAACCTGATCACTTGACTTCTTTTCCTTCACATCATTTACCCTCAGATTACCTTTCAGGTCATCACAAACACTATCCTGATTCACCTTCTGAAACCGCTTTTTCACAGTCTTAAACGGGATAGGAACAGCCTGAACAAAGCCATTCATTAACAATGACCAAGCAACATTAAACTGCAGACAGTTGACACAGCTCCCATCCCCTTTGCCACCACCATACTTCTCCTTCAACCCTTTCCTGGCCACATTACCCCCTTTATCAACCTGCCCATTATTCCCAAACATTCCAACAAACATCTTAATCGGTAACTTTATCAACAAGCCCTTCTTTTTCTCATCACTACCCAACCCTTGCTTACTTGCACTAATTTTCTTGACATCTAATCCAGAACCACTACTAGTACAACTCTCAGCTTTCCCAGGCCAACAATGCTCAAAATCCTTTGCTACTTTCTTAATACCTGACTCTATAGGCGAAAACGCATTCTTAACCAATTGTACTGAATTCAGAAATGACTCAACAGGGTCTCCAGTCCCAGATGCCACCATCACTCAACACCTTGTCACACAACCACAAAAATCAATCAAACCCAGTAACGAACGGCTCCTCTTATTCACAAAAAGAAACCCACAAAATTCAAAATAAGAAACAGATCCACATATAAACCCTAACTGTACGAGAACACAGCAAAACAATTGCGCAGTACAATTCAAGCACAAAAAATCAATTTAACCCCATCCACAGATAAGGTAATGGTGCCAAAAGTGAGAGCTGTCTGTACAACTGTTATTTACACAGAAATTACAGATTCTTTGAAAATGGAGAATTGGGTTTTCTTATGTTGTTTTGCCTGAAAATGTTATCCAACAAGATTTTAGAAGCCACTAAAATTCCAAAGATGTGATCTGTGAACGGTTTTTTTTTCTTGTTTTTTTTAAGAGAATAAACAGAAAAAGAGGCTCATATTTCTTGCTCTTTTTTTTTTCCTCTTTTGATTTACATAAAATCATTGGACATAAGATAATCTTAGAAATTAGAAATTGCACTAGTGAGTCATGATTCTTATTAAATGACAGTAATAGCCCTACTACAAGGAGGTTTTTAGTTTATAAAAAACTATAGATGATTGATAAATTTGTCATTTGCATAGGGTCAATGGAGTGGCTGGAGTTTATTGGACGGTTAACAATATTTGGAATATATGTTGAAAAAATTCTCCCCCTCGTTTTCTTTTTAATTGTGATGTTGTGCTTTTCGAAAGTCAATTTGATTAATTTTCAAAGTTAAATTAGATTACATTAGTTCGATACTTTAAATTTAAAAAAAATAGTATTTAAAAACTATACAAAAAGTAATATAGATTGCAATTTTTGCATATCAATATAATGAAAAAATACATCGTAAAATATTAATCAAAATTCTTATCGTTTGATTTGAAAAAAGAAAACCATGACAACTATAAAGAACGGAAAGGGTATTATTATGTTTCAAAGAAATAAGATCACTTGTTCACTGGCAAATTGTTTATATATTTGTAGGTGAGGATTTGGATAATGACTGGGGTTGAGAGGTGAGTGTGGATAATATTGAGTGACGCAGCGTCTAGTGGGAAATGGGACAATTTTTGGCATTATATGTCCGTTTGTGTACTTGTTTAGACGCATTTTAGGCATTAGCTCAAGGTGGTTTATGGAATTTAATTCTCATGCAATCCTTGTATAATTCATATTTACTCTCCGATTCATTTAATTTGTCATTTTTTATGCTTTCTTAAAGAAAATATTATTTATTCTCTCTGTTTCAAAATACTAGTATTTTTAGCTTGGGTATACCCCTTAAAAAAATACTAATTTCTAGAAAGTAAGACTTACAGTAAAACATCTATAAATTAATATAGGTGGGACCATGAAATTTTATTATTTTATAGACATATTATTTAATCGATAAATTAATATTTATTAATTTAAAGAATGGTTTGAGATTTAATGAAGGTTAATTTTGATTATATCAAAATCATTGTATTTTACTAATTTATGTATCATATTTATTGATTTCACATAAAAAAAAATATTAGATATAAAGTACAATGAATACATCAAAATCATTATATCTTACTAATTTATGTATCATATTTATTGATTTCACATTAAAAAAATATTATATATAAAGTACAACGAATACATCAAAATCATTATATCTTACTAATTTATGTATCACATTTATTGAATTGTCACTATCGTGCAAATAAAAGAGCATGGATGACAACTGTTCTTTTTGATGAATATATTCGTTGATTTGACCACAAAATGCATGGTAGACGAGTTTTGCTTATGGTAGATAATTGTCCAGCCCATAATAGAAATATTGAAGGACTACAAAATGTTGAATTGTTTTTCTTGCCACCCAACACGACATCCAAAATTCAACCTTGGGATGCTGGGATAATAAGAACTTTCAAGATGTATTAGCATAACAGATATTATCGTAGGATATTAGAAGGCTATGAAGTGGGACAAACTGATCCAGCAAAGATTAATGTTTTGGATTCTATCAATTTTGCAATCATTGCTTGGACAACAAATGTTCAGCAAGAGACAATAGCAAATTGTTTTCATGTAACATCTCGCCAATTTGAAATAACTAGGAAGAAGTTAGGAATTGGAAATAACAATTTTTGGAACGAATATAAAAATCTGAAAATTTGTTAAGTATGTTAAGTTGAGTTTTTGGTCAACTTCAAACGACCATAACTCCTAGCTCAGAATGAGTTAGGTGTGGTTCCAGATATCGTAGGAAAGATCTTGGAAAAATCTTTGCAACGCCGCCGAGTTTGTGCGATTCCGAGTTTGTATGAGTGAGATATGCCCATTTGAAGTTGGAATGTTCGAATAAGGAAATGTCCAATCCGGATTTTTGAAGGGTAGTTTAGTCTTTTCCTTATCCAATTTATTAAATCCGTTTTTTAGTAATTATTTGGAGTCTAAACTGAGTTAGTTCAGTTTACACACTTAAGAAATACGCTAGGCCTTGGAGAGAAGAAAAAGGAGGAGAAAGGAGAAGAGAAACTCAAGATTCGTCAAGTTCTTGCGATTTTGGTTGTGGAATTCGCCAAGGATTCAATCCTACAAGGTATGTGAGGCTTTCATAACGTTGAGTTTGTTCACCCACAATATTTTTATTTCAGCGTGAAATCGTCCTAAAAGAGTTTGAAAGTTTATGTTCTTGATTTGTATTCTGGAATTTGATATCGTTCTTGAATTGGGCTGAATTGAGATGTTTCTGAGATCTTTACGTCGAGTTTTAGAGTTACTTTGAGTTAGGTTCTTGGGTACATATGCTGGGTATTGGAATCTAAAAAGAATTTAAGAAAGATAGTCGAGTTTAGGTGAATTGGGGCGGAAAATGAAGAAGGGAAAAGTCGAGCGGGTTTTGGCACGCAAGTCCGCGTCGCGGACTTGCTCTCCCAGTGAACAAAAACCAGCACCGCATCGCGGACTTGCTCTCCCAGTGAACAAAAACCAGCACCGCGTCGCGGTTGGGACGCGAACTCCTCTGTCTCAAAATTTAATTTCGCGATCAAATATTTAAATGAAACTTCGCATTGCGGACTTGTTCCAAGACGGTGATTTCTTGATCTTTTCTCATGTTTAGCTATGTACAAACACTCTTAAACATCATGAGATCTTTCCTATCACCAATCACTATCCTTGAATCCATAATTCAATTCAAGGAAAGTTAAGAGTCAAGTCAAGTAAAGGTAAAAGTCAAGTCAAGTGAAGTTAAGAGTCAGGTTGAGAGAAGTTTATAAAGTTTTGAAAAGTCTTTCACAAACGTTTTAACTTTGTTTTAAGACTTAAGTTTCAAGTTAAGTAAAGAGTAAAGAGTTAGAGTTCATTTTCTCAAAAAGCTATAAGGGAACTAAGTATTCCCAAGAGTTTAAAATGATTTCACATTTGAACAAGAAAGGGAAACACTGATTTCCAAGAGAGCTTTTAAGCTAAAGTTTTTAGTAATGATCTCAAACCAAAGAAAGAAGTTTTCATTTTAAATCATTGAGCTAAGTATATTTTAGGAGTAGTTTTGGGACTGATATGGGGATGCGAGTTCATATTAACTCAAGTGTCCATAAACCATGTAGCCATCATGGTAGTAAAGGATCATACTTTTTAGGTGACTCCTTAAGATGCTTTTAGCATAGACTAGTGGATCCACTTAGTTAACCGTTCTATATGACGACAAAGTATTGGACAGTTCTGGCAACGTGGGCAAGACGTTGTATCACCACTTAGACTCATAGTGGTGGTTTTTGGTTAGAGAAAATCCCACATAAACTATATTACTTTATTACATGAGTAAAGTTAAGTTCGTTATTGCATTTTCTTTAACGAACTAAGTTGTTTTCCCAATGTTTTACAAGTTTTATATATATTGCATGTGTTTTATTGATTTATATTGAGTTAAGTTGTTCAGGAGTTGAGTAAAGCCGAGGTAAATGTTTCTTTTAGATTCTTTTCAAGCTTAAGTTTTGTTTAGCATTCCAACTCGCATACTCATACATTCAATGTACTGATGCCAATTGGTCTGCATTTTATTATGATGCAGACGCAGGTGACCAGGATCATCATCCAGCGCCTCGTTGATCTAGTTGAGCACTCAGAGTCAGTTGGTGAGCCTCATTGCATTTCGGAGGACTCCTTTTACTTTGTTTTTAGTATTTCATTGTTAGGATGATCAGGGGTCTTGTCCCGACATTCCTCTTTGTTTTAGAGGCTTCATAGACAGTCAGACAATTTGTAGTTCAATTGTCTTTACATTATCATTTCATATGTTAAGACTTGAGTTGCCATTTTGGCCAAGTTGAATGTTGACTGTTAAACATTCTAAGTTATTTTATTTAACAATTTGAGTAAGTGCATTTGATCATTGTAATAATGCTTAGAGTCTTCCGCTGAGTAAGTAAGCCAGACCAAGGATTCACTTGGGGCCAGCCATGGTTCTCGAGTGTCAGCCACGTCAGGGGTGTAGGCTCAAAGAGTGACATTTCAGCACTGTAAATTCGTTGGGGGATGCAATCTCAAAGAATTTGAATGAAGCCACTTGTGATAACGTCATTCATGAACTTGAGGTCATGATTAATGATCTCGGTTACCATAATAAAATGGATGTCAATAACCTATTGGATTATTCGGGTGAAAGTGATACATGTTCAGAGGTTCAGAGCTTAGAAGAAATTGTGGATACCATCGAAAAAAGTAATGTTGATGATGAAGTTGAAGATGATACTATACCTTTGGAACCAATTACGCATAAAGAAGCACATATTGCATCTAAAACTCTTCACAATTTTATGGTGCAGTTCGAAAAGACAACACCAGAGCTCTTAGATGCAATAAGAAAAGTTAGAGTTGAGCTTCAACTAGATTTAAATTTTAAGAAAAAACAGAACACAATAGAATCATATTTCACTAAATTGTCTTAGATATATTTGTACTTTTAAAGAATTATTGATTTATGATATTAATGGGACCATATATTTATATAGAGGTCTTTATAAAATATATTATCTTATTATCTTATTGAAATTGGTGAT